ACACCCAGGTTCGCGTCGCGGGTCTGCCCACGCTTGCGCTGCACCTGGTTCCCTCCTCCCCGCGCGCAACGCCGCGCCGGAGGAGAGAAAGAGCGGGGCTACCTGGAGTCGAATTTCTTGCCGTCGGAGAAAGTGCCGTGGTAATGGTAGCGCACGAAGTCGCCGGAGAGAACGGTGCGCGGGCACTTGTCCGGCACGTACTTGCGCTCGATCAGCACGTCCTTTCCGTCCCAGTGGCTCTCCCCGGACGGCACCGGCGGAGCCTGGCATGCCACGCAGCTAACTAGCAAGGCGAGGAGCAGGGGCGAGCAACAGCGGCGTTGCCGCCTCCGGGCCGGCGGCATCCTTGGCCTTTCCATTGCGAGGGACGAGCGCAAGGAGGAGAGGGCTCAAGAGCAAGCTCGGCTGAACTCCCGGCTTCCCAAAGCTGCAAACGTGGAGAGGGGGCTGGCAGGGGCGCGGGGGGAGAGGAGGAAATCCCAACCCCTTCGCTGCTTGGCAATGGGAGGAGCCCGGCCGCGGGAAGAGGGGCCTTCTTTGGGATGGAAAGCAAGGCCCCGCGACCGGCCGGTGCTGCCTTCCTGCAAAAGCGTTTGGCTTGGAGCGTGACCTCACGGTCTCGGGTCTGTGGACGCGTGCCGAAATGACTTGGAAAACGGAGCTGCTTTCGGCGAAAGGACGGTTCAGACCTGAAGGGGGGAAGCACGACCCGCCGATAGGCTGCTGTCTCCCTCGCCCCCTCTGCTCCTCGCGTCGCTACGTGGCACCGCCTCACTCCTAGACCCGAGTGGCTGAAAAGGCTGGCGTGTTGGCAGCGTGAGGGGCACATTCCTTCCTCGTTGGGTTGCGCGCCACACTGCGAGAGGGGCCGTTTTGCCGCTGTTCCTCAGCGGAAGAAGTTAAGCGGTTGCTCTGGACCAAGCGGTCCGCAGCGGTCCGACCCTTTCTTGTAAAAATTAAATGAGATTCAAGCTGGCCTAGAGGAACCAAGCACCGTTCTCTCTGGTATACATTAGCGAAGCTGCCGGACAGCATCCGTGAGAGCTCAGGGAAATCCGAGGCCTACAATAACTGACCGTTTGGAAATCAACAGGATGCTTCCTATACGGGCCTTTCCTGCTGCTGAGTTAAAGCGCTACCCGCCCATCTTTGATTTGGCAGATGACTGGCATGCGGACTTCATTGCAGATTCCTGTGCTGTCCCTCAGGCATCTCTTCCGAGTCACTGCTGAATAGCGCTGTCCCTGTTATGCCTGCATAGTGCATGATAAGCAAAGCGGAAAATTCTGTCGCCTCTCTTTGTAGACACTGTAAGAGGAGAGCCAAGTTGGTCTATGCTAACCAAAAATCAGGAGGAGTCTGGTAGCACTTTTCCAGACTAACACATCTTAGAAGGCATAAGCTTTTTTGAGCTATAGCTCACTTCATCAGATGCAGAAATTGCCCATGTTTATATCCCAAAGTAGTATCATGCAGATTTTGTGTTATTGTGACAGTAAACTTGATTGGCATAACACTCCTTCCTACTTCTTTCTGTAGATCCCACAATTAGCATCCATCTGCAAATACTGTACACAAATCTATTTAACATATGTTGATACTTCTGTGCCTATTCTTTCCTTGGTAATTGTCTTAATGAAGGTCTTTTTACGCATACAGTTAACCAGAACAGCACATAGCTTAGCCCTTTGCTCTTTTTCTTGGAATATTCCACTTATTGCCTCTTGTTTGGCTTATTGAACCAACAAAGACCAGGGCACAAGATTCTGTTCAGCCTGTAATCTTGAGTAAACAGCTAGAGTCATTTATCTCAGGAAAGAAATCTAGCTTGGTCTAATATTTTATTTTTATAACTGCTTCCTTACTTCCTTTATCCTGCTTTTATCCTTTCTTCAATAAGCATTTTTCTTATTATCTGCTAGATGGACTTATATTCCTTTGCACTTTGAAGGACTTGTGTTCACCTACTTGTCTAAGCTACTACGGGATGCTTTTGAGCTAGAGAAGGAAAAGTAGGCTATTCACTGACCAGAGAAGCTTAGCTGGCTGTCTCCTTATTTCCAAGAAAACTTTCCAGAAAGTTATGAAAAAACCTGCCTACTTGCTGGCAGAGATAAACATGAATAAAGCATTAAGTGTATTATCAATGAACTAGTCCAAAGTTTTGCAAACAGGTTCCATGGGAGATTAAGGGCTAAAAGCTAAAAGTTCAGTTGAATGCAGCCAATTTTATATCACTAGAGCTTTTCCTCTTGATCAGGGGTTCTGGATTTTTTAAAAAAACTAAGTTTCCACAGCCTGAAAAACTTTGAAACCCCCAGCCATAATTTGAATAAATTATAAGTGGCTGGGTTTTCCATAAAACACTAAGACAAAATGGATGGTTCCTCATTATTATTTGGAATTTGCAGGGTGTGGGAAGATTTAGGATTAGGGGAAGACTCTTCTTTCAGTGACATTGTTCTACTCCTAATTCTTTCTCATTATTTTAAAGGAGATAAAGAGCGGGTGAAGGTAGCATTGGAAATGGATTTAAGGTTATCAGACAAACCTTCAGCTAGGACTCTTAGATATGTGTAATGCTGAAAGTAACAGTTCAAGAAGCAAAACATTTCATATATAATTTTAAGAAGACATACGTTATATTTAACAACTAATCTCAATTTTCCCAATAAACATTGAAAATAATGAACTGGAGAAAGTCAACAGCTACATCTACCTCAGGAAAAGACTACCATGGAGTATAAAATCGTAAAGGGGACGCGGTGGCGCAGCGGCTTAATGAAGCTGAAAGTTGCCAGCCAGAAATGGTCGACACTTCAGCGGTTCGAGCCCAGCCTTTGTGCAGCAGAGTGAGCTCCTGCTTCCTCCCCCAGTTCCTGTCAATCCAACAGTTCGAAAACTTACGTGAGTAGATAAATGGGTACTCTCACTCCGGTGGGAGGCGGCGCCTTGCAAAAAGGAGTCGGGAGCAGTTGCCGGCAGCACGGAAGCCGCACTCGCCCCAAAAAGGCACGAAGCAACGGAAACCCCGCCTCCTGCACTCGCCAGCTGGGCTCTGCTCTAGGAAGGAGGCACTGGCAAAACACTTCCGAAACAACCCGCCTTGAAAAATGCAAAGGACTCGGCCAAAAGC